AGGTCTCTCATGTCACATTAGAGTCAGCAGTCTCACCCAAGTCTGCAAGTTCCTCGCACAAACTGCATGCAAAGTCATCAGAAACAGCTTATCTTGGAGTCTGGATAAGTCCAGTCTCATTCTCCTAGTAGATGTCTGTGGTTAGAATTCACAAACTGGGCACTTCTGTAGACCCTGCAGTTCTGCAGGAGCCTTCAGCATCTGCCCACGGGGATGTGATCGATCTCCTTTGCCGCACCACCAGTATTGAAGTACCAAGTCCAACAATGCGGCTCGGGGCGCTGGAACCAGGATCCAACGACCCACAGCCCCTGACCTTTCGCAAAGTTAAGGAACGTGGAGCCACTTTCATCCCAGTCTCCAGACCCATGGGGACCAGCACAATCCTCATAGCCAGCCCTGTCAGTGCCTGTGGTCACATTGAAGTCACCCATGACCTGAGTGTCACCTCGTGGCCACCTATCAAACACCAAGCAAAGTTGTGAGTAAAATGTCTCCCTCAATGAGACATCACTTATAATTACCTCCATTGGGCTCTTGAGCAAGGCCCTTAACCTGCAAATGCTTTGTCCTGGATATGACATTAATCTACACCTAACCCTGCAAGCAGGTCCTCCAACTTTCAGGGAAAAGTCCTGGGCTCTGTCCTGGGCTGTCCACTGAAATCCATCGAGCAGGTTGGGGAAGAGAGGATGCTGTCTAAGCTGACATCCATTATGGACAACACCCCCCACCCCTTGCATGAGACTGTACGAGCTCTGTGCAGCTCGTTCAGCAATAGACTTCTACACCCACATTGTAGGAAGGAGCGCTACCGCAGGTCATTCTTACCAGCAGCTGTCAGACTTTATAACACAGTTTTAGCGTGAGTATTTTCTACTCATATACTGTCTAACGGACATATCATATGTCTTTAACTGCTGTTACTGATTTGCAGCTTGAGTGTACATTGTATATTCACCAGGATCATTCACACCCCACCCCACCCCCACACTTGTGTACATATCTCTGTACATCTTTATTTATTACATCTTTATTTATTTCTAAATCTTTGGTTGTGTGTATAGACAACTGACCTACCTGCTCTTGTTGTTCTACATTACTTTTTGTATAAGAGCTCTGTAACACCTAAATTTCTCATTCGTGGGATAATAAAGGTTTATTCTATTCTAAAAACTTGCGGGTTGGTGGCAGGATTGGCACTCCAGCCACCAGAAAAAAAACTCGGAGTGGGTCATTTGGACTAGTGTGGTGCTGAAGTATCACCCACCACATGGTTCTCATCCCTGAGGTAGTTTGTTGTGTGGCAGTGCACTGTAATCAGTCCATGCTCCTTACCTCTCTCTCTGTGTTGCCAGTGTTATAACCCTCTGGCCTGGGACAGGAGTGAACAGGTTGCATGAGTGAAGTGAGCAAGACTATTTCCCTATTGGTTGCCCCACGACCCGAACAATGCACAACAAACAAGGAGAGATCACATACAGAGGGTTTATTTACAGTACAAGACAATTTTGTCAGCGAGGACCACAATATACCGATCCGCTAAGGAAGGGAGGTTGGACAGTGCTAAAGTAAAGAACAAAACAAAACTAGATCTAATTCTCTATACGTGCACCCATGGACTAAGCTAACCCACCAGAACATACATGGAGCGACACTCACATTCTAACCTGGTGTGTTAAACAGAGATTATTACAGGTCATATGTAGGTGCGCACACATCTAGTCTGTCCTCCACTACCTTAGGGATTTATAGGACATTAATAAAACAGAGCTTAACACGATTTCAGTTAATGACAATTAGTGTTTACTAGGTTAAAATCCAGAGTACAAATGAAAGGAGACGATGATAGCATGGGAAATTAGTCATCTCCAAGTGTATGGCTGAGTAAGCAATATATGGGAAGCCCCACCCACATCTTTAATAACAACCCCATCGACTGGTCTAAGTTTTGGTTTCCTCCCTGCAACCTGGAACATAACTGGAGGGGAAACTCGACAACACCAAACATGCCTCCCCCTCTCTGCATTCTGGAACGTAACAGTAGACTATCATCTTGAAGCCATATACTTCCATTACCAAATTAAAAGTAGATTTAGGCTTGACTCACCAAACTCCACACCCAACAAACACCACATTAATGTTGAACTCATTATCACTGACTGCACCATTAGCCTTTAACTCAGCAGCTTCATTAATTGTGCAAACCATTGATTCACTGTCCAACATGCTGCAAGTGTCACAGTGTTTCAAGATGGCAGCATGCATGGGTGCAGTAGCTTGGTGCTCTTTGTTCCAGTGTTTTGTGTGGAAATGTGTGATAATATTGCTACTTGTCCTACCTACATCTTGCTAAGCTGACAACATCTACAGCCGACACAACCTTTTCATGATCGGAGTTTGCAGTGAGGGGAGTGTTTCATCAGAGTTTCTCCGCTCCCACAACATTCTGGCAGACATAGCGAGGAGTCCCGGCACTCCGTGGATTATCATCCCCATGGGCAGGCGACAGAGGCAGCGCGGGGCGAGGAAGCAAAAGCGAGGCTGGAGGGCCGGCACACTAGCAAGGTTATGGAGGCAGCCTGTTAAACCACCACTTCCCTAGGTTTTCCTCACCAATGCCAGATCCCTCATCAACAAAATTGACTAACTGAGACTACAGGTGGCAACAAATAACATTGTCAAGAAGAGTTTTGTTCTGTTGATCACGGAATCCTGGCTTCACTCATCTATACCGGCCTCTGCTTTCCAGCTAACAGGCTACATAGTGCAACGCCATGATAGGACCAGCGACTCCGGTAAGAACAGAGGAGGGGGGCTGTGTGTATACGTAAATAACAACTGGTGTACAAACACAGTGACTAGTCCCCGAACTTGGAGTATGTGACTGCCAGATGCAGACCTATATACCTCCCCAGAGAGTTTGCTGTGGTCATGATCACCGCTGTTTACATAGCACTGGTCGCTAATGCTGACTCGGCAATCAGACTTACTAGCAGTCAGCTGACCAAGCATCCGGGTGCCATGCTTTAATCATGTTAAAGGAACTTTAATCATGTGGATTTAAAATCTGTGCTTCCTAAATTCAACAGAACGTTAAGTATGCCACCAGAGGAGCTAACACATTGGATAAAGTGTAAACAAACATCAAACAGGGCTACAGGGCTAAACTGCTGCCACACCTGGGCCACTCTCATCATTGTTTTTAATCCCTGCATATATCCCACTCAGTAAAACTGTCCTACACAGCACAAAAACAGTTAGAACTTGGACAGATGGAGCCTCACAGCAGTTGCAGGACTGCTTCAGTAGGACCAACTGGGACATTGGAGGTGTTTAGTGAAAGTGTACTGTGTTACATTAAGAACTGCATAGACACTGTCACAGTGGATAAACGCATCCAGGTCATCTCCAATCAGAAGCCCTGGATGACCAGAGAAGTCCAAAGGGTGCTGAAGGAGAGGAACACCACTTCAACCTGAAGAGGGGCATTAGAGAGGCCAAGTCAGACTACAAGAGGAAGATCGAGGAACATCTGGACAGCAATAACGGCAGGCAGGAGTACATGGGTGTCCAGCATTTCACCAACTACAGGACCAGTTCCAGAGCTGTGGGAGATGACTTATCACTGGCAGAGGAACTGAAGCACTACTTTGCCCGGTTTGAGGTGGAACCACCAGAGGCAGCTGAACCTCATCCAGAAATTACAAACAACAGCCCCATCTTCATGGAGGAGGAGCATGAGATGAAGCACATGCTGCGAGCTGTCAACACACGGAAGGCAGCTGGACCTCACGGCCAGGGGCGGATTAAGGTGCACAGAGGCCCCTAGGCTACAGTAGTCTGTGGGCCCCCCAACCCCGCCCCCCTCCGCGCCAATGGGGGCCCCCTTGCAGGCTGGCACACGTGGGGCCCCTAGGCTTAAGCCATATCTAGCCTGTGCGTTAATCCGCCCCTGCTCACGGCATCTAAGGACGTGCACTAAAGGATTGTGTAGACCAACTGGCCAGGGTCTTCACTAGGATATTTAACCAGTCTCTGTCCCAGTACACCGTGCCTCCCTGCCTGAAGTCCTCACAGTTATAGTGCCCCTGGCCAAAAAACAGACTGTACTTTTTACTGTTATTTTAGAGTGTAGTCTTTCTACTTACCGTAGCCTAGGTGTGTAGTAGGATATATTATCTAGGTTTATTAGGTACACTCCATGATGTGCAGGAATTGAAAATATGTAAATAAATGATGCAAAATCTGCAGCCATAATCATACATTGATCTTTGATCACTGCTGGACTTTGGTATTTTATTTATATCACAGGTGGGTTGTGTGTCTTTATGGTCACCAAGATGGGAGTGTACAATTCATGGATACGAGACAAGTATGTTTAAAACTACAATTTCCCAGGTATAGATTGTTTTATGTATCGAAAATTAGAGGAATGTGAAACTTATATTTGCATGATTTTACGGGTCACATGAATGTCTCCAAAAAAAGGCAGTTCACCGTCACATGATACTTCCGTTCTTTTCGCCTGAAGAATGAAATTACATCATAAGCAATAAAATAACTGCTCTGATAAACATTTATTACTCAAAGGGGAAGATGATATAACAACGTCTGCTTTTTTTCTATTTGTTTTTTAATCAACACCCAACAGTAAAACCCTCCCCATTGTGAATTTGTATGCGATTGGCCATATAAGGAGCTAATTAATCTCTGTAGACCGTAGATGTGATTCCTTAATCCCCTTTCACGATAAAAGTAACAAATATTCTTCAATTGAAGCATATTTGTGTTAACGTCTATGCATACAAAGGTTTAGCAGTGTTTGATTTTTACGAAAACGAATCTTAACTCATTATCACTATACGATTAATGTACAAATTTCAAACTGAAATCTCAACCTGAAATACAATACTGTAGATGTAGAATCACCGTACACCTTGGCAACCCGGGTACTGTTTAAGCTCAGGCTCCGCCCACCTTGAATGCCCGGAAATACAAAAAGGTATAAAGTAATGCATGTTGTGTAATATTCGATTTAAAAAACAGCACTTTTCGCGAAGAACACGCCATGACTCTCGTTCCCTCTTTTTCAACAGAAACATGGACTCTGTTAATAGCTTTCCTCACTCTGCTGATACTGTAAGTTATGCTCCTCTATTCCAGTTTTTTTTTGCACGCATACTACTTTTCAGACACTAACCTATAAGTACACTAACCAAGAAAAAAACAAATTAATAACTGTCGTGGATCTGTGATGACGCAGTTAATTTGTCTCAGTTTAGGCAGTAGATATTGATAGGTTCCTATACATTTATTTTTACTTACGTGTGACCATGAATATATAAAAAACGTTAACAGATGTTTCACCTTAAATGTAAAAGTTTGAAATATATAAAAATATATTTTCTGCTAACGCTGATGTTTTTTTACATGCACATGCTCACACAGATGTGTATTTTGTTCTTCTAACGTGTTTGAAACATTGCCTGTACATTACTATTTCTCTCCCTCCCCCCCCGCATGTAGGTATGGTGTCTGGCCATACGGCTTTTTCAGAAAGCTAGGAATTCCAGGACCAAGGCCACTGCCATTTGTAGGGACCCTTTTGTCATACATCTGGGTGAGTCTGCTGAATGTAATGCATTTGGTGTGATTTTACCGCTCAGCAATGCATTTCAATAAACCTATGCAGCGTTTCCCCTAGGTTTACAGCTTTTTTTTGGGGGGGGGGGGGCAGACGGACACCGACAGGATTCATGGTGTTCATGCGTTTCTTTTAATGACAGCAGTCGATATAACAACTGAACTAAACATCAGAACATTTCTTTTTATGACAATTATCTAAAGTGTGCAGCTTTTGTCACTACAGTGTGTCTTTACTGAGCTTCTGGAAGAACATTTCTAGAGCGGATGTTTGTCTTGACCTGCAAATACATTAACTGCTAGGCTTTAAAAGTGATAGCTTAAAATAGTGATAGTTTAAAGAAGAAAATCCCATTGTGAGACGTATTTATTACCCAGTTCATGGTTGAGAAGTCCCTCTCACAGTTTACACTGCTGACCAGGTGGTTGGTGCGACATATTTTCTGACACGCGCTCTCTGTCCGCTGTTCCCCTGTTTGCGCAAGAGGGTCTAGCTGCAGACTCCTTTTTTTTTTTATTAACTCAATGCCACAGGAACAAGAGGTATTACACAATCATGTCAAGTTAACATTAGCTGCTAGAGAAAAAGAAGAAATAAAATAGAAAAAAAAGAAAAGAAAATACATTACATAAATTTCAACATTACATGTTTTCAGTGCTTTTTTGTTTTTTGTTTGTTCCAGGAGATTTACATACAATTTAAAGTCGTTAATAAAATGAGAAAAATCTAGCTGCAGACTCCTGTAGAGTGCAGTTCCACCCGAAATACGTCACCTCCACAGGAAACACGTGATCTTTAAAGACTTGGAGCTCCGGTTAGGTCAGTGGTCCCCAAACTTTCTTTGCAGGGCCCCCCTTTTCTAGATAGGAACATTATTGAGCCCCCCCCCATTCAAACTACACAGGTTCAGATTCAAACTTTATTTGAAATACAACTCCCTTTTCTAATTGAGCTAAACAAATGCAATTACAAAATACAAATGGCGCAATTTCACCACTGTGGGAGAAAAAAGAGCAATCAATTAGAAATAAAAGTCCAGCATAAGTTTGAAATTATGCTAATGCAGATTTAACATTCCTGTTAATATTCATTGGCGTACACAAATTGAAGTTTGTTTTACGATTACCGCATTTTGGTTTTAATGATAACCGCAGGTTTCAGCCTATACTATAGCACAAAACAACACTAAATCATGCCCATTAATTGATAGTCTCCCTGCACTTCATGTAAAAAATTTTAAACCTCGTTTTTCGTGATATGGTTAGATTTTTCACGCGTCACGCGTCACCATGTCACATGGTACAAAAACCTTGCAAGAGCAAGACGACTTAAGACAGATCGTACAGCACCTCTCAGCCGGCTGAACAAACTGGAACAGCCTCCGTGACGACACAACTTTGCCCTTATTGGCTGAAGAACATGACGTTTGTATTCCAGGAAGTTCCGATGCGTTATCTGCTATTTCTCCCGAATATCACGTAAAGCAGTGAGAACTGGTTTTCAGTTAATTTACCTGGTAAAATAAAGTTTAAAGCTCAGGGGCCGCGGGCGAGCTGGGCTGGACGGACAGAGCGGCGGCCTCAGGCAGGGCCGCGGGTACTCGGCCAGCAGGGGGCGCCTCAGCGGGCGCGGGAGGCACCGGGGGCGCCTCAGCGGGCGTGGGAGTCACCGGGGGCGCCTCAGCGGGAGTCATCGGGGGCGCCTCGGGCGTGCGGCCAGCAGCAGGGGACTGAGCTGGGAGCTCAGGCACTGGAGTCACGGGGAGCACTGGAGTCTGCACAGGGCCAGCAGGGGGTAGTGCAGCTGGAGCAGGCGGCACAGGAACCTCGGGGGGCGCTGCAGGCGCCTCAGGAACCTCGGGGGGAGCTGCAGGCGCCTCAGGAACTTCGGGGGGAGCTGCAGGCGCCTCAGGAACCACGGGGGGAGCTGCTGCAGCCTCAGGAACCACGGGGGGCGCTGCTGCAGCCTCAGGAACCACGGGGGGNGGGGGCGCTGCTGCAGCCTCAGGAACCACGGGGGGTGCTGCTGCAGCATCAGGAACCACGGGGGGCGCTGCTGCAGCCTCAGGAACCACGGGGGGCTTTGCCCGCGTCCGAAATCGCGGAACTAGCGGGATAGCGTCCCTAATGGACCTGGCCCCTATAAGGGCTAGGCACGTCCCGAAGAAGGGGCCGGCGGCTGGCTCAGGCAGAGAATTATCATCAGCTAATTGACAACATTTTAATTCTTTTTTTGACAACAAAAAGCTAATTGACAACATTTTAATTCTTTGCCTAAAACTTTAATACCTTCAAAACAATTTTTGTATATATGTAAGACCATCGTTTGCATAACAAGAAGAAATAGAAAAGGAGCTGCAGGATCACCCTGTTTAATTCCTCTGAAAATGTTAAATCTACTAGTAGTCCCATGAGACAACTTAACAGAACTATTACAATCATTGTATAGTGTTTGAATTGCCCGTTTAAAGTATTGACCAAATCCAAAAAAATCCAAACAATCAAATAAAAATTTGTGACTTACAGTATGAAATGCCTTATAGATATCAGCAAATAAAATATAACCACTATCTGTTATGTAATCACTATAATCAATAAGATCCAGTATCAATTGAAAATTATTACTTATGTGCCTCCCTTTCATAAAACCAGACTGACAGTCATCAATTATTGTATTTAAGCAAAATTTCAATCTTTGCACAAAAATATGTGCCAGTAGTTTGGCGTCATTATTAATTAAAGTTATTGGTTTCCAATTATCAAGAGATAATCGGTCTTTGTCAGGTTTGAAGATTAAAGTAATCAAACCCTGACGTAAAGATGGAGGGAGTTTTCCAAATGCTATGGCTTCCTTATAAACATCTAGTAAAAAATTGGAAATAATGTCATTAAATGTTTTATAAAATTCACTGTGTCACGTTCACGGGGCAGGCGATCCGGGAAGCAGGGAAAAGGAGCCAGGAAGTCGGGTAAACGGGGTTTATTCAGGTAGAATCCACAATACAGGGGAGAACGAAGGGTAACATCAATGACAAGTCTGGGGAAGACTGACTCAGACGAGGACTAAATACAAAAGGCAAGCTAAGGGTAACGAGCAACAGGTGGGAACAATCAGGCAGAAACAGGAGGTAATGAGGTGGGCGTGGCACACATTAGGATCGGACGGAGCGGGGCGTCAAAGGTCGAGGGAGTGAAGGAGGAGACACGGAGGGAGCAGGAGGGGACACCGGTGCAGGCAGGCAGGAGGGGGAAGCCGCGGCAGGCGCAGCCGGAGCCGGGGAAGGCGCCGTCCGACGCCAAGCCGGAGCAGGGGGGCCCAGAGGCGGCCGACACGGAGCCGGAGGCGGGACCAAGGACCGGCACCGAGGAACCAGGGGGGGACCCGGCGGAGACCGCCGAGCCGGAGGACCCGCAGGCAGCCACCTAGCCACAGCCATGGGACGAACGGGCGAGCCAGGGGGCAGGGCGGGCGGGACCCGAGCCCGGCGCCTATGTCCCCGTCCCTTCCGGGATACCGAAAGGCGGGGTCCTGGGGGGTGTCGGCCTTGTCGGGGCAAGGGAG